ATACTAATCACAATATTTAATAATAATAATAATAATATTAATATTAATAATGATAATAATTTTAGCCGGTATTTAATCTTATTCTAAAATATTAATAATGATAATAATTTTATAAATTATTTAATTTCTATAAGTAATTTAATTTCTATAATTAATTTTATTTCCTACCGAAATTTCGGCAGCACCTTTCTTAAAATTCAACTATCCACAATTTAACTCAATCAATCATCCATCAAGTTCTCACAGCCCATCCATCGGGCAATCAATTCAATCAATTAGTCCCGTCCTCCACATTTATCCACATCAATAATATTTTGTTAATTTTTCTATAATTCCATAAAGCATAATTTCCTAATAATTTATTTATTACTATAATTAAATTTTATTAACCAAGTAATTTTAATTTATCAATAGATCAACACAAATTAATTTAACTAATCGCAATTGCTAGAATTAAATCAACGAATCTCAATTGCTTCAATTAAATCAATTAACTAAAATTACTAAAAAATTACTTAATTTCTGAGAATTAATAAAAATTAATTTATAGCCAAATATAATATCGCCGGCAATTTGTTTGATCGGTGACGAAAACTACGCGTGCTAGAAAGGAGTTACGTGCAATGGGACTGCAAGCCGAGGACACGATGCGACTGGCAGTGGTAGAGGGGCGGCGGCGGCGACAGATCGGACCCGCCGGGGGCGCGCTGGAGCAACGGCAGTGGCAGCGGTGGGCTGTGGCGTGGCTGCAAGGCGTCGGTGGTGGCGCGACGAGCTGGAGGAGGAGCTGCGTTCGTCTGATCGAAGGCAGGGGAGCTGTGCTGCGCTGCGCGATCTGGCCGAGAGCTGGAGGAGGAGCTGCGTTCGTCTGATCGAAGGCAGGGGAGCTGTGCTGCGCTGCGCGATCTGGCCGAGGATGAAGGGGAGCTGCTGCGACGAGGAGCGGCGGCGAGGTGGCCCGATGGAGGTCCGCTCGCTCTGATGGAGTAGCGAGTCTGCTGCGGCTCTCTCTCTCTTGCCAGGAACGCAAACGCAGTGAAGAGCAAAGAAGAGGAAAGAAAGAAGAGAAGAGGAAGAAGAAAGGAGGAGGAAGGAGGAGGAGGAGGTCGACGCTAGAGAGGAAAGGAAGAAGAAGAAGAAAAGAAAAAGAAAAGAAAGAAAAAAAACAATATGTCCGGTTTCTAAGATCATTCCGGTTCGAGTCGAACCGGATTGGTCTGATTCAAACAACTTGACTCGATTTTAACTCGTTTGTAAGTTTTTTTACTCGGTTTTTTAGGTTTATTCCGTACTGGTTTTCAAAAAAAAATCAAATTTGATTTCACGGTTCGATCGATTTATTTTGAATTGTTTAATTTGGGGGGTTTTTCCGTAATATTTTCGTCCAATTTCCCATAATAATAAAATATTAATAAGAATTATATTTCGGATTTTTTTTCTTTTGGAATAATTAATTTTTTATGTAGTTTTACATACATATACATAAATTTATAATCGTGTCGTGAACTAGAGTTCCATTTTTATTTCATCAAAATATTTAGTGTTCTCCGAGCGAATTATTCCGATAATCAGTTTTTGAAGCTTTGGGCCAATTCGAAAATTGCCCAATTCGAAAATTTGGGCTCAAATTGAGACTGTATTCCATTTGCAGCCCACACGGTCAAAAATTCTGATTTTTGATTTAAATTAAATTTAAAAGTTTCAAAAATAAAAATTCGGGGTATTTCAGGTCTGATAGTCTTCTCATTTTTATGAGGAGTGAGATGTCTTCAGTTCGAATCTTCTCGACTATACGTATTTTCATCAATTTGGTGGGTGGATGTTATTCCTTGTCTTGTAGCTCACAATGTTGCTAACAGTGTTATTTTGGCTTATTAGGCCTCCTAACGAGACAAAAAAACTATTTTTTTAAAATAAATATATATATACTATTATATTATAATTAAGCATTTAAATTTTAATTTTCATCTTTATTTAAATTTGTTTTTTTCAATAAATATTATTATTGCGTAACGAGAAATTTGAAATATTTTCATATAGTTTATTAATTAAATATTTAATTCTTTTAAAGACTATAGATAAACAAAAAGAAAGAACAATCAGAATTCTTTTTATTAATATTTTTGTCTTTTATCTTTGCTATGATTTCATTGGTATGTATTTTTATTTAAATTAAATTTTCAAATGGAATATATTAATATTTTATTTACGCAGAGATAAAAAGAAAAAAATTTATATTATTTTATTAATATTTTTCTTATATTTGTAAGATTTTGATTAGATATATTTTTAATAAAAGTAAATTCGTATATATATATATACTTAATATATATATATATATATATATATAATTATAATATATATGAAAGCTGAAACAATATATATATATATGAAAGCTGAAACAAAGCGAAAGTTTTAAGGCATTCTCTCAGTGTTGTATTTTTCTTTTTTTTAAAAAAAAAATTAAGTTTTTTCTTTATTTTTCTATATTTTTTTGAAATTTTTATTTACTTTCTATGTTTTCATTGGATGATATTTTCAAATAATAATAGTTTATTGATAATTGTGATTTTGATTTTTTTTGAATTTTTTCTAATCTTTTTTTGAACAGTTTATTTTTCTAATAATTTATAGATAATTAAGATTTTGAATTTTTTTATCTATTCTTATATACCTAAAACATATGAACATAGGACTATTAATCAAGAACGGAGTATTTCAACTATGGAGAACAGAGGAACTCATGAATCTGAAAATCAAAATGAAATCAATCAATTATTTTGGATTTTTTTTTTTTTTTTCTCTTTAGGTTTTTGCTTTGGATTTGAGATCTTTTTGGAAGGGGATACGAGAAGTGAAGTATCTAATATCATCTTTGCACTTGCCTCAAGATCACATTGGTGCAATATCTAATTAGGAATGCTTAAGGCATTTCTGCAATTTCATGTCTCAAACCATTCATCTAATCTAATCAAGATCAGAGCCAGAAGGTTCGATTCACATACTCTACAACTGGAAATGTAATATTATACTTATGATTCTATTTTATATATATATATCCTATTGTATTATAGTCTATATATTATATATATATATTATATTGTAACTATAGTAAATATATATATATAATAGTATATACCTTTTGAAAATATATTTTGACATCTTCTATTTCGAGTCTCGTTTTCTCCTTATATATATACATTTGAAATATATTTTTGACATCTATTTCGAGTCTCGTTTTCTACTCAAGGTGAATCAAATGATATTTTTCTCTTACTTATCTATATATATTAATTGGATAACTTTATTTTTTTAAATTTATTTTCAGATAATAAAAAAACCAATTTATATTTATCCCATCTTTATAAACTAATTTATCTCTTCAACTTGAAAATTATAGAAAAGTAACAGATATATACTGTTATATGTTGACCTTCAAATGTTAGTTTGCAAATTAGAAGTTATGTTTGGCAATTTGCTTTATCTTAAATAAGTTATTAATTAATTGATATATTATATCTATTGAGTTTGTTCATTTACCTTATTCAGCTCAGTAATAATGTTCTCTATGTATGTATAACTGAAATTTACAATTAACTAGGAAAAGACTTAAAATATTATGCTATTTTAAATAATACCATAATTTTCTTTATTATAAATTATTTTGATATTTATCTTTAATGAATTATTTCAATTACAATTTTAATTGATCTTTCTAACAATTTGATAATTTACAACGGTTTATCAAAAAATAATAATATAATCAACTATAACAATTATTAAAATAATAATACTTAGATACCCACGCGCGAAGTGCAGTTTTTCGATTAGTTTATATAATTAAATCTAAGACGGTAAACAGTTGAAATTTTTAATTTAAAAAATATATAAAAAATATTATAATATTTTATAATACTATTTATATATCTATATACATTTGAAATATTTTTTTTGTTAAGTAATTTGAAAGAGGTTTTATTCTCTTAATAATAATTTTTTATTTTCTTTTTCAATTACTGGAATAACATTTGTGTGGACTATTATTAATTTAATTAGTTAAGAGATTTTATATCCCTTTGCAATAAATAAATGGGTCCTATGGATGATTTAAAATATATTTTAATTTCTTTATATCTATATACATTGAAATATTTTTTTTGTTAAGTAATTTTGAAAGAGTTTTATTCTTAATAATAATTTTTTATTTTCTTTTCATTACTGAATAATTTGTGGACTATTATTATTTTAATTAGTAAGAGATTTATATCCCTTTGCAATAAATAAATGGTCTATTGATGATTAAATATTTTTAATTTTCTTGAAATTTTTTTTCTCTTATATCTTAAATCCGATTAATTTAAAAGAAAATAGTGTTTAGGAAACTAAAAAAAAAAACTAGAACTATATAATTCTGTTTGGGTCATTTTTTGAGGTTTCAAGAATTTGTGTATATGTGCATATATTCCTTTCTCTGATACACTACGTAAATAATACTGTTATTATAACCAAAGTGATTTCCATTATTAATTCAAATAATCCTCTCATTTCTTTTCTTTTACCTAGTAGTGAAAAATAATAATTATTATTTTTTATTATAGTCCTATATAGATATTGATTTGGGGTTGAGGACAGGAGTTGGAGATTCAATGATGGCTTAATTTTCTTTTTAGGCAAATATTAGGATTTTAAAAATTTGTATTTATAAATTGGAGACTAAAGGATTAGATCTAGAGATTGGATTGAACTTTATTCTGAAATCACTTCATCATATAAAAATAGAATTAAGTATATAAAAGTAGTAATTTGTACAACAAAATATAATATAAATTAAACAATTATATTTATTTTAATCTAAATAAAATTTATGCTTTACCGTGATATAGACAAAAAGCGCAAAGACTAGTTTAAAGGCATAGGATTTTTTGGGTAAATCTTATTTTATTTTTATTAATATATTTAATTCAACTATATTTTAAATGAATTTTTATTTTTGATTGAGTTTTCCGTCGATCTCTTTTTACATTAAACCCCAAAACGGTTCGAGTCGCCTTGTTTCTCTTACTTTTCTTCATTTCCTCAGATTTATAGATCTAAAAGGTTTCTAGGTCAGCTCATTTGTTTTGTACTGCCGGGAACATCCACAGCCGTGACTCCGCGGCCGTCGTCGACCGCTCGCCTGACTCCGCCACTATTGCATCAAGTTATTCGTAAGTAGATTGTCCATCTTTCTGCCAATTTTTCAACTTGCAGAAGGTTAGATCTAGGGATGCTCATGATTTGTACCAACTGGATCATGTTACGTTTTGCTTATAATTCGCAAATGTTATTGTTAAGTTAAAGTTTAGTTCGATTTTCTTAGCTTAATTACATGAATTTTGAGTTTTTGTAAATCGTAATTCTTTTCCTACTCTATTGGAAATTGAAAATTTGAGTAAGCGGTCTTAAGGATCGGAGCTAACTGATTCTTCTTAATCTTTGATTGCTTTGCATTGACGAAGATGCAGATGCTTTGCTCACGGTAAAGAGGTTGCTAGAGTAACTGGAATCGTATCTCTCTATCTCTCTGCATTTTGGGGTTGATTGGAATAGAGCCCAGCCATGAGTGGCCACGATTCAAAGTATTTCTCGACCACCAAGAAGGGTGAAATCCCTGAACTCAAAGAAGAACTCAATTCACAGTATAAGGTCTCAGTGCAATGTATAATGTTTTTAAATGTTTGAGGTACATTAGTTAGGGTTTGAACATAATTGTATTTTTTTTTCCTTTTAATGGTGCAGGATAAGAGAAAAGATGCTGTTAAAAAGGTGATTGCTGCAATGACGGTTGGAAAGGATGTGTCATCACTATTCACAGATGTGGTGAATTGTATGCAAACGGAGAATTTGGAGCTTAAAAAGTTGGTTTACTTATATCTTATAAATTATGCTAAAAGCCAGCCTGATCTTGCAATACTTGCTGTAAATACATTTGTTAAGGTAAGAATTATGTTGAAACTTTTCTCTGTGCTTAGACATCATGTGCATAGTCAAACTTTTATCGTAAGTCTTTTGGTTGAAATTTTTTGGTATGTTTTATGGTGTACTTATGTCAAGGCTTTGAATGCCAATTGGTATTACCTTTTTTTATTGTAGTTATTATCTCCTTGAACAATTATTTTTGCTTAGTAGTTTGTGGAGACATATGATTTCATGCATTAATTACTTCTTGATCTTTTGGGGTTGTATGACATTTCTGCTACTGTGAACAATATTAAATTTATGCTTCCTATTACTTAATTTTTCCGAATCAATTGTAAAACTTGCTGTAGAGGCCTCCCTATCATATGTTTTTGCATCTGGTTTAAATTTTTAATTGAATAGAGAATCTTGCTTAGTTGCATAATGTTCTCATCTCATTACGTGGGAGAAGAGCTTTCAATTGTAGCCCCCAATCCACCTGAATTGATTTTACACCTGCCATAGAGGACTTCTAGACTAATTTTATAGAGTGAAGTTAACATGTTTAACGGAAGGATGTTGCCTTCTTGTTCTTTTCCTTGTTTTGTTTCCAATCACATGTTTAATAGTCTAAGCATATTTTATTGTTACTTATGTAGGATTCACAAGATCCAAATCCTCTGATTCGAGCGTTGGCTGTGCGAACAATGGGTTGCATTCGTGTTGACAAAATTACTGAGTATTTATGTGATCCTCTTCAGAGATGTCTAAAGGTTGGTTGCAAGAACTGATACAGATTATTTATGCATATCTGTGGGAATTTAGTTTTCTGGTTTAGTAGGTTGCTGTAGCTTCGCCTTTTCCTCTTAAATGGAATTTTGAATTTTCTTTGCTTCTCTCATCTGTATCATCCATGTACCTTCTCTAATCTAGCGTTTAACATATTTTGTTTGCAGGATGATGATCCTTATGTTCGCAAGACAGCAGCCATTTGCGTGGCCAAACTTTATGACATAAATGCTGAGCTAGTCGAAGACAGGGGTTTTTTGGAATCTCTCAAGGATTTGATTTCTGACAATAATCCAATGGTTGTAGCAAATGCTGTGGCAGCCCTTGCAGAGATTCAAGAGAATAGTAGCAGACCTATCTTTGAGATCACTAGCCACACACTGTCAAAGCTGCTTACTGCTTTAAATGAGTGCACAGAGTACGTGAACAATATGATATTCCCCCTGGCTAGACTTTTGCATGTTTTGAATATTGAGACCTAATGTTGATGCAAATTTGGTTTTTGGTCCTTGATGGTTCTGAGCCTGATGTAATTTGATTAGGTTGATGCTAGGTTATTTTACACTTTGAGAATCCTTTATATTTAACTAGAATATGAATATTGACAAATTCAGAGAAAGAATTTAAATCTGGTCATATGCACATGCAGCTATTTGCTGTATATGGAAATCTTGTTATTGTATTCTTCTCATCTTAGCACCCATCTCTTTTCTCTGCAATAACATATCTTTTCTAGATTAATAGTATGCTATTTGTTGGGCTAACAACTATTTACTATTGTTTATGCATTATTCTTGCTCTCTTATCCTTGTTTTACAATTATGTTGTGCTTATTTATAGACTTGTATGCTATTTTATGCTAGTAGCTAGTTATAAAGTACGCACGATCAAAGCTGTAGCTGAATGATTCCCTGCTCTAGGTTATATCACAATCAACATTTTTTTTTTTTTTTTTTTTTTTTTTTTTACAATTATGTTGTGCTTATTGTAATAAGACTTGGTATCTGCTATTTTATGCTAGTAGCTAGTATAAAGTACGGCACGATTTCAAAAGCCTGCTAGCTGAATGATTCCCTGCCTCTTAGGTTATATCACAAATCAAACATTTTTTTTTTTTTTACTTTTCTCATTAACTTTCTTCTTCTCCCTCCAAGGCTTTTGCTTGGCCAATAACTCTTGTTTATTTGTTTGACTAATTTTTTGTACTCTTTCAGGTGGGGCAAGTTTTTATATTGGAATCTGCTATCTAGATACAAGGCGAGCTTGGATGCCTCGTGAAGCTGAAAAATATAGTGAGCGAGTTACTCCACGACCTACAACATTTTTTTTTTTTTTTTTTTACTTTCTCATAACTTTCTTCTTCTCCCTCCAAGGCTTTTGCTTGGCCATACTCTTGGTTTATTTGTTTGACTAATTTTTGTACTCTTTTCAGGTGGGGCCAAGTTTTTATATTGGATGCTCTATCTAGATACAAGGCAGCTGATGCTCGTGAAGCTGAAAATATAGTGGAGCGAGTTACTCCACGACTACAACATGCTAACTGCGCAGTTGTACTTTCAGCTGTTAAGGTGACATTGCATTGTTTTGTTGCTGGACGTCTTCATTTTCAATGTGTCTTTGATAGTAAACCTGTCAAAATTCAGTCAGTGCTTACAATTTTTTTTCTCGAACTCTCTTTTATAGATGATCCTCCAACAAATGGAGCTTATCACTAGCACTGATGTTGTTCGAAATCTTTGCAAGAAGATGGCTCCTCCTCTTGTCACGTTACTTTCTGCAGAACCCGAAATACAATATGTTGCATTGCGGAACATCAACCTAATTGTACAGAGAAGGCCTACTATCCTGGCACATGAAATTAAGGTATATGGACATTGTCTTGTCAGCAGATGCTGGAAAATTTGCAAAAACCATGAAAATGTGCAAATCACAATTTTGTAATGTTGGGATCGAGGATTTGTTTGCTCCAAAAGCATTTTCTTCTATGTTCAGGTGTTTTTCTGCAAGTACAATGATCCAATTTATGTGAAGATGGAGAAGCTAGAGATCATGATAAAACTTGCTTCAGACAGAAATATAGACCAAGTATTGCCTTCTCTCTCTCTCTCTCTCTCTCTCTCTGCTTGCTTTTGTGGGAAAGGCCAGGTGCACGTGTATAATCTGTCTTTTCAAATGTTCACTTGATGAGCACTTATGCAGGTCCTATTGGAGTTCAAAGAGTACGCCACAGAAGTAGACGTGGATTTTGTTAGAAAGGCTGTTCGTGCCATTGGCCGCTGTGCAATCAAGTTGGAGAGGGCAGCTGAGCGATGCATCAGTGTCCTACTAGAGCTGATTAAAATTAAAGTCAACTATGTGGTTCAAGAGGCTATTATAGTGATCAAAGACATCTTTAGAAGATACCCTAACACGTAAGCTACAAGCTTTGTGGTCTTGATGTATATTAATGTTAAATTCTAGTTTCCTTCTAAGTTTAGTTTTGTATCTTCCTTGTCCTTTGCAGTTATGAATCAATCATTGCTACTCTTTGTGAGAGCTTAGACACTTTGGATGAGCCTGAAGCTAAGGTAATTATGTATTTCTTCAAGTTTTTCTATAATTATAAATTATGGTTAACCTTATATTTTCTGCTCATATCTTTTATTCTCTCTTAAGGCTTCCATGATCTGGATAATTGGTGAATATGCGGAAAGAATTGATAATGCTGATGAGCTCCTGGAAAGCTTCTTGGAAAGTTTCCCCGAAGAGCCTGCACAAGTCCAGTTGCAATTATTGACTGCAACTGTGAAGCTCTTTCTTAAAAAGCCAACTGAGGGCCCTCAGCAGATGATTCAGGTTTGGATTTTATACCTACATGATTTTGCTTCAGGAAGTTGTAGTCTGGTTTAGTTTTTCCTTTTCTGATTTTCACATCTTCTGAAAGAATCAGAGCATGATGATATTTGGTTTTATGGACTCAATATCGGGTCATAGGCTTGAAGCTTTACATGTGGCAATACATGCAACTTTCTGATGGGGTTTGTATTAGCTACAATGTACTGTTGTGATAAAATACTGCTATTGAAAGAGAAGAGTGAGTTTAATAGTCTAATTCTGTTCAAGGAGAAATTGGAAAAGGAGAAACTTCTGCTGTATTGTAGCCAAAGAAATGTTTATCTCATGGTTTGGATTCGTCTTTTTTGCATTAAGTTTGTTCCTCTTGTTCCTAAAATATCAAATTTAGGTATGAACTTATGAGGGCTGAAAACTTTTGCAATACCATATAACTTACAATTCACTTGAAATCAGATATGCACACAATATAGAATGCAATTATTTTTTTCTATATAGACAAGACTGCCAACTTATGAAACACCTTTTGTCTAAAAGCAAAGGAATTATGCATTGGATTTTGTCATGCTTGCCCCTGTCCAGTTGTGTGTATTTTTTTCCTTCTCAATTTGTGAGTTTTATTGGTTGCCTTTGAGCTTAGTTCGTCAAATATATATAGATAGATTTCCTGACATTTTAGCTAGTTGTGATCTTTCAATACTGTAGTGTATTGTGACTAGAAACTTCTTTTCCCCTGCAAAAGAAGCATGGTGTTTCGGGGTTGTGGCAATATGTTATTGTTTGGCACATTTTAGTATAGTATTGTCTTGCTCTTAAATCACTGTTCTTGATTTGATGGCTGATGATTTAGTTACACATGTAGAACCAATTTTAACTGTGGTGATTTTTTCTCACAGGTTGTTTTAAATAATGCAACTGTAGAAACAGATAATCCTGATTTACGGGATCGTGCTTACATATATTGGCGACTGCTATCTACTGATCCTGAGGTCTGGTATTGTTTTAGACAATTAAATTTGTGTATTTCCATCTGTTTAGTTATGTGGTCAATGTGCATTTGTTTGCTTGATATATGCAGTTACTTTCTTGTTCTATCACTTCTCTTTTTGTTTGGAAGCTGAGGGTGTAGGGAAGGGAGATGAGGATAGTTACAATAGCTTTTATGAGAGCTCTAATGTTATGCTGCCACAACTAGAACAATTTAATCCAGTTGGTTATACTATTGGAATTCTGAGATTATTTTTTTTGTTGCTAACTCTCTAGTTAATTTGAATTATGGACGGAAATTTAATTCTTTGTTTTCTGTTGTAAGCTTGCTGTTTTTGTTGCGAAGTCTCTAGTTATCGTGTGTGCTGCATTTGTGAAGGTTTTCTAGTCTCCCATTTCCCAACATACACATATCACAGTTAATCTTTCTGCTTGGGCTGCTTTTAATCTTCACATAGGCAACCACTGGTGCTTTTCATCCTCCGACAGAAGGCAGGGGCAACACCTTGACAATGTTGAACCCTAGACAGTATTTAGACCAAATGAATTCTGGATCCATTAGAAATTCCACACTTGTTACATTTGGAATGTAAAATCATCATGCAATTCATTTGAAATTCATTGTACAAGCACTTGTATTCTATTTTCATATATAGCAATGGACATTATTGAACTGCATGGATGTCTCATTGGCATCCTTTAATCTTTCAGGCTGCCAAGGATGTTGTGCTGGCTGAGAAGCCTGTGATCAGTGATGATTCAAACCAACTTGATTCATCTCTTCTTGACGAGCTTCTTGCCAACATCGCTACATTGTCCTCTGTGTATCACAAGCCTCCGGAAGCTTTTGTAACCCGTGTGAAGACAACAGCACAGAGAACTGAAGAAGAAGAGTATCCTGATGGGGGTGAACCAGGGTATTCAGAGTCACCTGCTCATAATGCTGATGGTGCTGCATCACCACAAACCAGTTCTAGTAGTGTTCCATATGCTGGAGAAAGGCAACCTGCCCCTGCGCCTCAAGCTGCTGTTCCTGTGCCCGATTTACTTGGAGACCTGATAGGCCTGGATAACAGTGCTATCGTCCCTGTTGACCAGCTATCAACTCCTGCTGGGTGAGTGTGCTGGAATTTGTGAGATATAGTTTCTGGGACTGGGAATTGTGACTCCTGTATGGAATCACTTGCCTACATTAATATTTTGCTAAGCTTATTGTTCTTTTATCATGGCTTCACTACTTGGCATAATTTTAAGTTCTAACTTTCACTTGAATGGCCAAAACTGATACTTGAGCTCTTTTGAACTTCTTTCAGGCCTCCTTTGCCAGTGTTGGTACCGGCATCAGTTGGTCATGGTTTACAAATAAGTGCACAATTGATACGAAGAGATGGCCAAAACTTCTATAGCTTATTGTTTGAGAACAATTCACAGATTCCCCTTGATGGGTTCATGATTCAGTTCAACAAGAATACATTTGGTCTGTCAGCTGCTGGACCTTTGCAGGTAGTTTTAACTTCCTTTTGTTTAGGCACAGTATTTGTGTTCTTTTCTCTCACATCCAGTGTGAATTAACATTTTGTTGTCTGTTAGATTCCACAATTACAACCTGGGACATCAGCGGCAACTCTGCTGCCCATGGTATTGTTCCAGAACATAGCTCCTGGTCCTCCAAACTTACTCTTGCAAGTAGCTGTAAAAAATAATCAGCAGCCAGTATTGTACTTCAATGACAAAATTTCATTGCATGTGTTCTTCACTGAGGATGGGAGGATGGAACGTGGAACCTTCCTAGAGGTAAAGGAGGATTAAGTTTTATATTTTATTGTTGATGTGTAATATTTCTAAAGCATTGCACTGTTTGTGATCTAAGTCTCAGTTGATTTGCCTCACGTAAGCGTAATATTATTGAGCAAATTCTAGAAGCAGAAGCAAAAATATCAATCATATTTCCGCTATTGGTGATTTGATGATTCTTTCACCTAGCTGCAAACTTGACCTACAACTTTTGCACAATAATACAGAGCTCTCCCAATTAGGCTAAAATTAGGCTCATAGGTTACAAAGCACTGTTCTGAATTTTTTTTTTATCTTTTCTTCAAGTTATTTAATTAGAGTAGGAAATCCATCAATCTTTTACTGTTGCGACAGTGTAAAAATTTTTTCATTTTACATGCTGTGGCTGTATTCTCTAGTTAACTAGGACTCTAATTAGTCTAAGAAATTTGCGTTAGGCAAATCTTTTCCAGGTGTTGAGTATATATAATCTGGCAAAAAAAATTGCACACAAGCTTATATCATATGGTAGTTTAACAACTGGAAATGTATTTGTTATTAAAAAAAAAAAAAATTCTTGAAAGATCTTCAGAGTTAGCTAGTTCTCATTTGATTAATGATCTATATTATTGTTGTTGGAACCTGCTCGTATGTGATGTGTTGCCCTTGCAGACATGGAGGTCCCTACCAGATTCAAACGAGGTCTCGAAAGACTTCCCAGGCATTGTGGTGAACAGCGTAGAAGCCACTTTAGACCGATTCGCTTCATCAAATTTGTTCTTTATTGCAAAGCGAAAGCATGCCAATCAAGATGTATTCTATTTCTCTACTAAAATTTCTGGAGGAATACCCTTTTTGGTTGAACTCACCACAGCTGTCGGAACACCAGGGGTTAAGTGTGCAGTCAAAACACCAAATCCTGACATGGCACCACTTTTCTTTGAAGCTGTTGAGACTCTTCTCACAAATTAATCTTGTTTCTTGTATCATCCTTCTTTTTCTTCTTTGTTTTCTATTTTTTTTTTCAACAATTTTTGTTTTATATATGTAAAATCTGAATTGAGTAGTGAGGTTTTGATCGATAATTCTTGTTTTGTTAGGTTTTCTTTTTTATTCTTTGCATTTGTATTAACCTGAATCATACATTCTTCTTGTATGAATTTTCTTTTTTAAAAATTTGAACTTTTTCTAATGACTAAAGAACATGTATTTGATTGTTCTGAACTATCTTTGTTCTGAACATGTATTGAAAACTCTTTTTTCTGCGCATAGATTTGCGAGTGTTCTGTATTGGACATATGCAGAAATAATTTTGCTTAACCTTTTGATATTATCATGTTTGGCCTGTCATTTGAATTTGAAGTGAGAATTAGAGTAACGAATTTTAACTGTGTTTAGTAAAACAAATCTAAGATTTTCTTTTTCCCTTACACAGCTATTGATATTTGCTGGTTTTTTGTTTGTTTTTTTTTTTTTCGAGAAATGTATTATATTCAATTTGTACTATTTTTGTTTTTACTGTCAAACTCATGGTTCTATCCTACTTCACTAAAACCATTATTTGCCTGTTATCACTGACATGACCAATTTTAAAGCTAAAGTGTATTTGATTTACATCATTCAAACTTAAATAATTATTAAACCAAAATTTTCAATAATTATTAATTTTAAATTCAAGTTGTTTGATACATCACCGAATAATAAATAAAAATTTTTAATTTCGATTTTACACTGAGAATCGTGTATCAATAGATCGTCAAAATACACGTATCATGTCGTGAAATCAAGGAAATTAGTAATGACTTTCTCGGTGTATCAATAGATCGTCAAAATACACGCATCAAGGAAATTAGTCATGACAAAATCATAGATTTTATAATTTGTGTTTTACATTAGAATATAAATCATGGTTTGAAAATGATTTGTGTTGTGGTAATGAAAAAATGGCAAGAAGAACATGATTTTTACAGGTTTTGAAATGAAATTTAGATATCATGACTGTTTGGTTTGGAAGCAACAATAACATATTTGTGACAGAAGAACTCATTCAAAATGAATTCTATTATCCTATATGTGGTGAGTAAGGTTAACAACTAACAAGTGTTCCTGCAAGTAACTATCTAGACGAGGGAGATGGAGAATCAGAAAAATGAAGCTGCTGGAAATGAAGGTACTGCGAACCAGGGGAATGGAGGTGGAGGTAGTGGTGGTGCTCCAAGTCAGCAGATTCCAGTTTATTTTCAACTGCCGGATGGGAAGTGCAGGCTAGGCTATATAGAGAGGAGTAAAATGGGAAATTTGAGCCAATTTCAAAATGAAATCATTGGACGATTTGTTACGCACCGTCTGCCTCTGGCGATACCTGAAAAATACATCGGAGAAACGATGGATACGGTATATATAGGTGCCAATGAAGAGCAATTATGTCCTGAAGACATGGAGTGGACGGATTTTATAAACAAATTGAATTATATTAATTTTATCTCCTCTTAATTAGAATATGACAATAATAGAATAAGATATTAACTATATAATTTTAATTATATAGTTATTTATTAAACAGTTGTAAGCTATTTTATCTAAATAATAGACTATATGCTTTATTGTGTTTTTCAATTTCTTGTCAAATTGAACAATTAACTATTTCTTGTCAGCTTGACTAACAACTCATCAGGATTTTTACTGGGTTTTTTGCAATATTGCCACTTTTGAAAATGAAAGTTTCGAGCAGAAGAATACTGGAGTTCAGCTGAATGCAAAAAGTGAAACATTGAAACTTATCCTTAGATAACTGAATGTGCACAATAATTATTGCAATTTCCATTTTTATAATCTTTTTCACTGCTTATTTATCAATTGATTCTTATATATGTAAATATTTAATTGTAATTTGTATTCCTCCCCTTGTGGATTGTACTGTTTCTAATAGACTTTGTAATGAATTATATTGTCTTTAATGAGTTTTAAAATTGTTGTAGTTGCTGTCGATAATTCAGAGTGTATAATAATCATTTTATATAGTAACTGATGGCAAAAAAATAAAAAAAAAAAAAGAATGATTCAGCTTATTTTCAAACCATTGAAATGAATAATGTTATATGTAAGATGAATCAAAAAGAGAAGAATGATATTTAGTGTGTTCGGTGATGAGCATCTCTGTTAAAACAGCTAAAATATTTTGAAAATCTATTAAATTTATTTCACAACAAGAAAAAACTATTTTTCTCAAGAACAATTATCGAATAGACTCTCAGCCATTTTCTTCCTGTATTGTGGCTCATTAATTGATAAAAAAAATGGTTTGCATCACAAAAGGCTACCAAAAATAACTATTGGTTATGTTTGGATGAAAAATTTTTGAGTAATTGATAAATTTAATATAATAAAAGAGGGTAAAATTTATGAATTATTCAAAATTAACTCATTAATTGTATCTTTGTCATTGGATTGTGACTCTACAACTAAGCATTTATCATGGGGCTATTACTACTGTACGGATACTAATTATTCTGTATTGATACTGAATCTTCATTAATTGACGCATGTATAAAGAAATTTATTATTACTGTACAGATACTAATTATTTATTCTTTATCTATATATTTCCTAACTTTAACTACTGTACGGATACCTAATTATTCTGTATTGAACTCGATCTTCATTAATCCTGACGCATTATAAAGACACTTTATTATTACTTAGTACAGAATACTAATTATTTCTATTCTTTATCTATACTATCTTCCTAATTTACATCTCTTCCTTTTTTTTTTTTCTTTTTGGTCTATATCTACTTCTTCTATCTATAACTTATTTATATAAAGTATTATATAAAATATTATCTAATGATAAATATAAACTTATCTAGGAAAAAATTAAAATTAAAATTCATGTACATAAAATTTTCTTCTAGTGTTATTCATTTTTTTAAAAAATAAAGTTACTACTTATCATTTGAATTGTGTATATAAAATATCATATAAGAGCAGTTTTACATGTATAAAGAATAGATAAATTATTACAGGCATAAATTTCTTTTAATTATGAAAAGTGTAAAAATATATTAATTACAAATTATATATTTCAATTTATAATATGGATTATTTTTAAAAAATTTAAATGAATTTAAGATAATAATTAATTAATTAAACTACAAAATAGAAGTAATAAACTACAATGTATATAGTTTAATTTATACAATTTGATATTATTTAAGGTTAGAGATTTATATAGTTAAATTACATGATACATGATAAATGTTTTAACAATAAGAAAATAAAAATTTATAATTATTTATTAAAATTTTAAATAATTTATTTTTTATTAAAATTTTAAATAATTTATTTTGAGTAAATGAATTTAAAGTATTGGACAATTATTTATTTCGCAATTTTTATGTTTTCTAGAATTATAGTTTTGAAAATAGTAACTTTTTTTTTTTAATTTAAACAATTAAATGATTTTTTGTATTTTAATAATAAAAAACTAAATGTTCTACTTTTGATAACTCATTCTATAAGTAACAGGTCATTTCGTCAATTTCAAATCTAATAATCTATGTCTATCTAGTTTAACTCTTACGGTGAAAAAAGATGCTGTATTAGTACATAAATTTTTAAATTTGTACTATAGTTTTACCCTTTAACATGGATCGTAAGATATCGGGCTATTCATGTATAATTAAACAACATTTAGGTAGTTGGTTATTATATAAATCTACCTGAAAAATACTTTTGGCAAAATTTATGCTGGGCACAACTACAGTGATGAAAGGACAGTAATCCTCCTAAAAAAATTTAAACAGTTTGTCTTGTTGACGTGACAGATAAAAATAGATTTCTATTTTACTAATGATGACATGATGGTGCTGTGTTGCTGACCCAATTTTGTGAGCATCGTCGTCGCGCGGGAAGAACCAATCCAGAAATTTGTCCATCATATATCAAAACAATTATAATCTCGTGAAGATCTCAGTTATGTTATGAATTTTTAGAAATTGTATTGATTTCATTAAAAGTCTCAGATTTGTCTAACTCAAACCTAAATTTCAATTCATAAAATCCTTTTACCAAATCCTTAAGTCAACATAAAATATCAAATTTGGTTCATAAAAAACTATGAATTTAAGCTTATCTCAATAAGAATTATAGCTGTAATCGTAAAATCTAACCAGAAAGCTCAAAAACAATAAAATTTAAATTTTTTAGTCCACAAAAACAGTAACTCAATCAATCAAATGGTGATCGAATATATACTTACCATAAGCAGGGAAGTATTTTGTCATCTTATTCTTGTTAAAAGTTGATCGGAGTTTAGTCAGAAATGGAGGCAGTAAGCCTATATCACAAGACGCAAATGAAGGAGGAGAGGAAGAAGAAAGTAGAATTTTCTCCTCTTAAACTATTTAGTCATATTCCGGTTTGATCCAATTCAAGTTCGATTCAATTTGAATTACAAAAGCTTTTGTTTATTTAGTTTTCTAGCAGTTTAATTTGTAGTATTATAATTAAATTTGATTAAGAAATACATCTATTAATTAATTTTACATACTTTTCCTTACTTGTGAAAAGACTTTTTGTATCCATTACAATGACGACCATCTAAAAATCAGGCATGGTTCTAGAAATTGAGATCCAATACTTTAATTAGCATATGTAATTAATCAATGTCAAGATATTTCAAATTATTGAAATATAATTACAGTCTTTTTAATTCTTAACTAGTATTATCCTATATAATAATAATCATTTTACCATCAAAACGACGCAGTTTTGATGTAGAAAGTTTAAATCAACCCATTAGTAAAACTATGTCACTTATGCTATTTATCATTTAAATTCTAATTATATCATAATTATAGACATAACTAGTATAATAATCAAACTTAGCATTATAATAACTTCTATTAGATATTATATATAATTACCATTATCATTCTAATAGTGTTATAATTATAAATTTTCTAATTATTACTAATTTATAGTCAAATCTATCGGTATTCTATCAATATTGTATATTATTACTATTCATTTATCTACAAGGTTATTAGTCCTTTTAGTATTGTAATTATACTGAGCATTATAATACTTAGTAAGATATAATGCCTAGTATTCAAAGAGAACTATTTTAACTTGATTTATTTGGCTATAATTATAATTATAATTAATAATTATACTAGTATGCAATATTGCTAGAATATA